GAACGGCGTGGCCCCCGCCCACGAGCTGCCCTCCCACAGCATCGCGGCCACCACGCGAGCCCACGGGCTGGACAACGTGAAGGCACCGCTGTACCTGGACGTGACCTGGGGCTGGGAGCGCTGGGGCGGGACCCCGCCGCAGTCGCTGGACCTGGTGCTCTGCATCAACATGATGCACATCAGCGCCCTGAGCTGCACCGAGGTCCGCAGGTGGCCAGGCGGGCGGCCGTGGGGGGTCCATGGCGGGCCCAGCGCGCCTTACTGCCCTCCCTCCTCAGGGGCTCTTCAGAGCTGCAGGACACCTGCTCAAACCCAAGGCTCTGCTCATCACCTACGGAGTGAGTGGCCCTCTGGCTGTCCCCTCCTGTGGCTCTGCGGTTCCCCCTCCTGGTGCCCCCTGCCTGTCTCCCCGCTTTCCCCAGTACTCTGCGCCCCAGCTGCTGGCTCCCCCTCTTCATGGTGTTGGCCCGTACCCCTCTTGGGGGCAGGGAGGGCTGTTCTTTCCAGTTTCTGGAACCCAGCCTGCAAGGTGACCCAGCAGGGAGTGGCTGACACCAGGATGGTGGGCTGCCTGTTCCCACAGCCCTACGCAGTCCAAGGGAAGATCTCGCCCCAGAGCAATGTGGACTTCGACCTTACCCTCAGGTGCAGGTCAGAGCTGAGTCAGAGGGACCAGGCTGGTCGGGTAGGCTGGTGTCCCCCCAAGACATGACTCCATTTCTCCTAAACCCACAGGAACCCAGAGTGGGGGCTGCGGGACACAACCCTGCTGGAGGCCCTGGGCCAGGCCAGTGGCCTGTCCCTGGAGAGGATGGTAGGTAGGACAGCTGGGTATGGGCAGCTTCCCTGGGGACAGAAGGCCACTCTCAGCAGGGAATCTCTCCAGGTGGACATGCCTGCCAACAACAAGTGCCTGATCTTCCGCAAAGAGTGACCCTCCTGCAGCCCTGCCGCGGGCCCCGCCGAGTGAACCCCAGACCACCAGCTTCCGTCTCCCTGGGTCTGGGCTTTGGTCAGTGCCCCTGGAGCTGCTAAGAGCCTAGACCCTGCCTGCCCCAGAATAAAGTCCCCTGCTGCCTCCTGCACCACCTCCTGGGGGTGCAGGGTGGGCAGGACTGGTGGCATCCTGGACCTTGTTACTGGAGCGCCAGCAGCAGAGGGGGACAGAGGGGCCAGGGACGGGTGCTGAGGGCCCAAGCTGGCCACCACCCCTGCTCCCGTGGAGATGCCAAGGGGAGCTGCCCCCTGGCGCTCTTGCCCTGCAGACACAGCCCCACCTGGTGGCCCTCTGGAAGAGCAGACGGCAGAGGGCTGGTCCTCAGGTGGGGCAGAGGGACACTTTTATTAGGGGCAGGAGCTGCCCCCGGGGCTAGTCCTGGAAGCGGCCGAGCAGCTCGCAGGCCTTCTTCTCGAGCAGCTCTGAGATCTTCTTCACGCGCTTCTCACTGGCGGCTCGCACATAGCTGCCGGCGTCCAGCACAGCCGCGCCATCGCGCACCTCTCCCATGAGGACCAGAGGCCCATCACCGGCAGTCACGTTGGGGCAGGGGCAGGCCCAGTCCATGCCACTCAGCGTTACCTCCAGGTACTTGGTGCCCAAGAGCTTGAGGCCCATCTTGTCGTCCTTGAGCACGTCGTCGAGGGCCACACGGGCGATGCCAGCCCCAGCTGCGTCGGGCTCCTCCAGCACCTCAGTTAGCCGCCCCACGATGGCAAAGTCGCTGCGGCACAGGCTGAGTGCCAGCTTGCTCCTGAGACGGCAGGCCGGGCAGGGCGTGGAGCGAGGCACGGGGCAGGCGCCCTCACAGCGCTCTCGGCTCTCGAAGTTGTTGCCGTTGCCTTCACAGCCGCCATACAGGAAAGGGTGGCAGCGCTGCAGCAGGGGGCTGTAGGCCCAGCGCGGCTCCCAGCCCTGGCAGGGACCCTGCACGGCAGGCAGCACGCAGGCGTCCCCGGGGCCGCGGACACAGGCCTGCTGGCATGCCTCGTAGGTCTCGAAGCCCTGGGAAGCGCCATCGCAGCCGTGGGTGGGGAAAGTCATGCAGCTACCCCGCTGTGGGTCCAAGCGCCAGAGGACGCGCTGGGAGGCAGGGCTGGGGCAGGCCCGCTCCTCGGGCAGGCACCCAGCCAAAACCGGTATGCTGGGGGGCCCGTCCCTGGCCGGCTCCCGCTGGACCACAGAGAGCGGGCGGTCGGCCCGCAGCAGGCCGGCGGCGTTGCGCGCAGTGCAGGTGTACAGGCCGGCGTCCTCGGGCTGCGCGTTGTAGAGCACCAGCTGCCCCCGGATGGTGACCACCACGTTGCCGTACATCCTGTCAGGGCGCATGATCTGGCTCTCCCGCTGCTGGCTCTGCTTCTCCCAGGTCACGGCTGGGGGGGGGGGGGGGC